AGTATTCCATTTTCTAGTACTCTTGTGCGTGCACACGATGACGTAGGTCGCCATTTTGTACGTGTCATCTTGGTGCGCAAGCCTTTATCCTTCTTCTCTAGCTATTTTAGTTTTAGTCCTTCTTGTACAAAAGCAAGTAACTAGTCCAATGTCGAGTGGGCTGTGATCGAGTGTTGCTTGTTGGCCAGTGTAGACGGGGTAGTTCACAACAACACCAACCATAATGACATTGATTTTGCATGTGACTGACTACTTACTTTCACTTTCTTTTTTATCGTATGCCATTCATGCAACGTCAACATATGTTTGCTTCTACCTCATGCTAAGTGTTCACCCCTCATTTCTCACATCACATCATCTTCCATACGGTAGATTGGAGCATTTAGCTCTGCTCCTCCTAACCGGCATTGGCCTCACTTGTTCCTGCTCATTACAAGTCAGCTATGGCTCCTCATTAACCAGCTGCTGTCCATTGCTTGGTATTTCACTTCACAAATATTGTAAGTGTATTGTGGGGATTCCCGAGCTGGTTGCCGGCAGCAGTGTGGAGTTGCTTTCAAGCTTGTTGAACATTTGTATTACAATACAAGTTACTCAAAGCAGCATACTGTCTCCCAAAAAGGTCGTTATTGTCTGGGATAAGTTTGAGGGCGTGAGGTATAGGGTAAGAATTTACAAATAGCCTCGAAAATACGCCCAACCCTCTGCTGCCACTGAGAGCCAGTTCATAATCTCAGAACATATGCTTTCAATGAACAAAAAAAACGTCGCATCGATGCCACTAACCAGTTTTCTCCCCATGTGGGTTGGTAGATTGTTTTTGTTCAGGACAAGAAAGTACGCCACTTAAAAGTGAACCAACCAAGTTTGGCTGGGACTTCTTCGTGCAGATTTAAACAAACCACCATTACTGTACGGGTTACGCACAAAGACATAACTGATTGTGCTGTCCAACTATCTTACCCGCCACTGGAAAGTGTAACATTTTGCAGGTGTATAACATACCAAAGATCTCCAATCTAGCAGCCGGTTGCTTTACAGAACCGCAATGGTGTGCAGTGCAATTTCACATGAAACACATGCACCAAATCTCATTGAGACATTGGACTTATAAGTACTTTTGAGGTGACGCAAGGAACTCAATAGTGTTGTCTAGGCTGTTGAACGAAGTAACGGTGAGGCATCCTGCAGCTTCATAACTCGAAGAGAATTGGTGAGCACACATGCTCATTCCCTGGGCACTGCAATTTCACAACACATTAATTTTCATTTCAAAAAATCGTTTTCAACGTTTCGGCAAATTGCCATCATCAGGATGCAATATGAAGTGGAAGTCTGCCCAGGAGCAGTTATATATACTAATTTGGTGTTCTTAGGTGTTGATAATATTTCTATAACAACACATGTTACCTCCGTGCTAGGAATATGACATGTCTAAAACTAATGAAAGATCCCAAGTTTTCACTGACTCATATGCTGGGGATAGGTAATAAGTTAGCACAGCGCAGATGTCACCAGATAACTTGGGAAATGTCTGAACAGGTGTCTCGCAAGAAATAGACGAATGTGACCATGTCAGTGTTTTCCCGGGTCATGATCCCTAGTACTGAGGTAACATGTGTAGTCATAGAAATATTATCAACACCTAAGAACAGCAAATTAGTGTATATAACTGCTCCTGGGCAGACTTCCACTTCATATTGAAGCTGCAGGATGCCTCACCCCTACTTCGTTCGTGGTTCTCCTCTTTCCGGAGCGAGGCACTGTGGCGCTATGTGCAATGGGCATGGAAGTTGCAAAGGAGCGAGTGTCAGTTGTCATTTCTGCTACAACGCCGGAAGGGATTTGATTTCGCGATTTATAACCCAGTGCACCCAACAGCCAAGGTATTCCAGGCACAAGCAAGTCTGCCAAAGAAGAAGACACCAGTCCTGCCTTCGCCTTCTGCGCGACGCCATAGAACACAAGTGTGCAGAGAAGGACTTTCGCTTCAGACAGAGCACGCACTTTCGGGACAAGCTCTGGTCATTCTCTCGGGAGGACTACATAAGGATCCGTACCAAAATGCGTTGCGTAGCCACAGAGGAGTGCATCGATATGAATGCAAGGCTAGCCCGGAAGCTTGGCACGCTTCGTGCAGAAGCTGGCCAGCCAGAGCATGAAATTACGCAAGCCGCATCACAAGCCCAGCTTGGCGCTCGGACTAGTAGTGTGGCGACATGTGATGGATCCAGTGCCCACCGGGAATTGGTTGTGGATGATTGTGTGCCGGAAAGCATCAGGCGGATTTTAGAGCTTTGTTCCTTCGACAGGCTCGTTTACGGATCGTGAGCGTTCGGAGGTGATTACGTCTGTCGAGCGGATGGCCTACACGTTGCGCTGTCAGTAGGCCCAGCCTCAAGAGGTGGAGGTTCTAGACAACGAGACTGTTTCTGACACGGTGGGCGACAGAAAACTCTGGAAGCTCAAGCAGCGTGAGTTTAAACAACCGCCAAAAATGTGTGACGATGAAGAAAGGAAGCTTGCGAATTTCAAGGACGATGTTCTCGCTGCCTACACCAAACACAAGCCACCGACGTCTAAAATGACCAAGGAGGAACGAGATGAGCTGGCCAGACTCTGCAAGCACACAAGTACAGTCATCAAACCGTCAGACAAAAGTAAGAAGTTGGTCGCACTGAAACAAAAACTCTACCTGGAGAAGGCAGACGCATTGCTATCGGATAGCGCTATGTACGTAAAGGTTGACATAACAATAACCGAGTTCGAGTCTCGGGTGAAAGCTGTCCTTTGGGATAAATGCAAGAACATGGATTCCAAGCTGCTGAAGTCGATTCTCCCCAATAATACAAGATTCCCCGAGTTCTATGGTCTCCGAAAGGATCATAAGCAGAACCTACCCCTACAACGCGCCGTGTCGGCATGTGATACTCCTGTCACGGGCATATCAATCATACTGGAACGCATTCTACACCAGTTGCTAGACTTTGCCCCTGCGCACCTCCCTATTACGAATGAAGCCCTTGATGACATCTGCACTATATTCCCAGATCTTAAAGCTCCAGAGGGGACAATTCTTGCCACTTTGGATGTCGTGGGCCTGTACCCCAGCATTCCGATTGAAGAGGGAGTCGACGCAGTGGGAGGAATATTGGAACAGCATTTCAAAAGAATCAACATGTTCGGCCTTAACGTGTGCGAAGTCAAGGACTTGCTTCAATTTGTTCTCACTTACAATTTATTCAGATTCGGGCGACAAATTTTACACCAGCTAGAGGGAGTCGCAATGGGCAATAATCGAGCACCACCATTCGCAATATTGTTCATGCACTCTCTGGAAACGCGCCTTCTTGCCGAATCACCGGTTCTGCCTGTACTGTACACACGGTACATTGATGATGCGATCATTCTCTGGACCCACGGTGAGAAACGCCTCTTGGAGCTAATATAGCACTTCAATGCAGGACACGACCGACTCAAGTTCACCTACGAGCTCAGCAGTAGCAAAGGCTGGATTGATACATGGACATGACAATTGCCATACAACAGTCGGGCCAGGTGACTGACAAGCTCTTCCCAAAGCCATGCAATAGTGGATTGCTGATAGACTACACATCTGCTGTGCCTCATCACATCAAACTTGCTGTTGCACAGTCTCAATTTTTAAGAGCACAACGTCTGTCTTCCGATGACACCATGTGTAAAGGAAGTGAACAGAAAATTCAAGACCAACTTCAACTCAACCACTATCCAGAAAGCCTCATCATTTTAAAATGCAAGAGAAGCAGCAAGAAAACCCAAGCGTTTCTGCCGAGGTAATCCGTGTTGTGCGTTTTTGAAGCTGCCATATAAGTCGGACGGGGTGCATCACAGCGTCAGCAAAGCTATCCGGAAGCACAAGTTACCAGTCCGGGTGGCTTACGAGCATGCGGGTAGCCTCAAACGTCAGCTCAGTCATTCAGCACAAAGTCCGCCCAGCTGCATTAAGGAGCCCAACATCAGAAAGACAAAGAGAAGAGGACACCCAATGGGACCGTGTCAGACTTGTAAGTTGGGTGGAGTAAAAATATGTTTGAGGAGGAATGTAATATACCGTCTGCAATGCAAGTTGTGCAGGGAAAAATACATCGAAGAGACGGGTCGCACACTGGAGACGAGACTGGAGGAACAGAATGGTGAAGCTCGTAGAGGCACTGTGGATAAGCCATGGGGTGACTACAGGCGAGCTAAATATGCATGGATCAACCTGAGTGTCAGGAACAGCATCTTCTGGGCAGTGCCGGTGATTGCAAGAGCCAGTGACAGGGCAAGCCGCAAATTGCGGGAGGCAGTGGAGATCCGAAATGAAGGCCCAGAGATCAACACCAGTGCTGGATGGTCATTACTCTAAAACAGTCACACCGCACCGGTTCTCTAGGTGACAGTATTTTCGGGAAAATACTGGCATGGTCACATTCGTCTATTGCTTGCGAGAAACCTGTTCAGACATTTCTCAAGTTATTTGGTGACATCTGCGCTGTGCTAACTTATTACCAACACCCAGCATATGAGTCAGTGAAAACTTGTGATCTTTCACTAGTTTTAGGCATGTCATATTCCAAGCACTGAGGTAAGAGGTGTAGTCATAGAAATATAATGAACACCTAAGAATCCCAAATTAGTGTATATAACTGCTCCTGGGCAGACTTCCACTTCATATTGCATCCTGATGATGGCAATTTGCCGAAACATTGATAATGATTCTTTGAAATGAAATGTGTTGTGAATTTGCAGTGCCCAGGGAATGAGCATGGGTGCTCGCCAATTTTCTTGTAGGCTGTTGAAGATCGTGAAAACTGTTGTTCTTCTTGGAAAACGTTTTCCAGTTGTGCATGTTATTTTTGTGCGTACAACTGATGAACATAAGACCTGGTACACATGCACAGGACTTTGTACACCCGTACAATCCTTCTTTTCTGTTCATACACTAACAAGGATGCACCTGGGATATCCTGACTTACATTATCCTTTGGGTCCAGCGAATGTCCAGAATTAAGTAGATATTCTGCTACGGAAACATGTCCACCCAAAGCTGCACGGTGTAATGGTGTCCAACCAAGCTGGAAGTAGCATTGTTAATGAATGCAAACCAAGTTCATACAAACACACACAACAGAACAACAAGGACAATCAAGGCTTGTTTGCTGTACAAACACACATAAACATACACAAATACACACATACACATGCCGATTCCCACACACAAAAATTAATACGCATATGCATGAAAACACACACGCACGCTCACACACACACACACACACACACACACACACACACACACACACACACACACACACACACACACACACACAACTATGTATGTGCAAAAACACACACAAACAAACAAACAAACACAGTTAGTGAGAAAACGTAACAAAGGCAATGGCATAGGGAGTTCTGGATCATTATCAATGAAGATTTCTATGGGCATTGATGAACAATTTCCTTGGAGACAAGAATGCAATTTTCAGTAGTATACTTTCATGCCTGATCATCAGGTGAAATACAGGCAAAATCCAATGAACATGGCATGGCGCATGTTGTGTGTGAGTGTGTGCACTCGTGCATGTCCACGAATGTTGAGCACACACAGGCAGGCGTACACACGTGTTAGCGCGCATGAGAGCATGCCGTTTACTTTCCATATGCATGCTACTGCAGGTGTGCGTATGTGACGTACAGTCGAACCTCGTTAGGACGAACACTGATAAGGCGAACTTTCCATTAGTACGAACTAAGGCCAATCCTATGGTTGGCCAGGCATCAATTCAAGTCAAAATTATTCGTTTACGACGAACTTCTGTGCAGCGAACTTTCGCGAAGACGAACTATTTTCAAGTGTGATTTGAACAAAGTCAGTGTGGTCATGTAGATGTACATGTAGTACGAACTTTCAGTCCATGAGCGTGCGCGTGCGCTGGCTGCCTTTTTTCTTCTTGTTTTTCAATAGTCGAGGTCATTTGTACGTACAGTGCAAATTGTTTTCAAGCGTGTTTGATACATTGCACTTTCAGTTTTTCATTGTACTTACCTGTTTCTGGCTTATGCTAAGAATAACATGCTTTCCATGTACCACAGCATGCACCTTCACGTAAATACAATCCATCTGATATGCATATCGATTTTTTTTGGTCAGATCTGGATAAGAAGAACTCCCGATAAGACAAACAAATGTGTTCAGTCCCTTGAAGTTCGTCCTAACGAGGTTTGACTGTATTTGTGTGGGCAAGGGGTACTTGTTTGTGATGGTGAGTATGTCACTCTCTCTCTCTCTCTCTCTCTCTCTCTTCCTCTCTTTCTCTCTCTCTCTCTCTCTCTCTCTCTCTCTCTCTTTCTTCCTCTCTCCCTCCCTCTCTCTCTCTCTCTCTCTCTCTCTCTCTCTCTCTCTCTCTCTGTATTTGTCTCTCTCTCTCTGTATTTGTCTCTCTCTCTCTCTCTCTCTCTCTCTCTCTCTCTCTCTCTCTCTCTTTTCTCTTTCTCTCTCTCCCTCTCCCTCTCTCTCTCACTCTCTCTATTCCTTTCTTGATATCGAATGTATTTACTATTGATCACTACGTATCATTTCTTATTAAGCTTTGCATTATTTATCCGCGCTCTGTTCATCCATTTTCCAGTATTATTTTTCTAGTTTTATTGTGAGTGCACACAATGACGTAGGTCACCATTTTGTCCATGTGCACTTGGTCGCGAGCCTTGATACCTTTTCTTTTGTTCTTTTAGTTTTAGTTCTTCTTGTGCAAAATAAAGTAATTGGTTCAATGTCGAGTGGGCTGTGAGTGTTTGCAAAGGATGTCCGTTTGTCCATAGCAGGCAGGGACCTGAAGGTGTCTGAATGCCTTGATAGGATCCGGGCACTGCAAACAGCAACCGGCACCAGAGTTGGTGCAGTGTCCGCAGCTTCCACATTTGTGCAAGACAGTGTTGCTACGCCGTCACCGCTGCTTTGCCACCATTGTGGAGAACAGGTCCACTTTAAAAGGCATTGCCCAAAGATACTCATTCTTCCAAGTTGCTTCACGTTATGATCTTGCTTTTGAAAGCCCTATTTGAATATTGTGGCCAGCTGTCTTTGATCAAGGGCGTCACACACGGCACGACCACTACGACCATGGTCGTACCACTTTTCGTCCATGATAGTCCGCCCAATTCATCGAAAAAAGCAATAAAAAATTCAAGGATCTTCGGACTTGTACAAAACATCGCAACAAATTACTTTCATTGCAAGGAGGAGCATACAGACTTGATGCCTAGCACTAGCAGTTAGTTATTGCCCAAGACTCCAGGCGGTTATCCATTACGATAGGCGGTTGGAGTCACGGGTAGGACCAATTAGACGATTCCTCACGGACGCATTCCCTGAAAACTTGACAGAAACAGAGCTGAGCTGGCGGCGATCACTGGGTCCAGAACTAAAAATTTCCAAGATCTACCGTGTTAAAATGGCGATCAGCACGGTCAAGAGACTCTACATGTATGTCACTTGTCAGCTACAACATAATTATATTCTTTCCACAACGACACCTACCTAGTACCTCTGGCTCCTGACGATCTACTGCAAGCTGATGCGAAAATGCATTACACCCGCGAAAGCCGCGCTTGTAAATGGAAAAGGGAAATGCTTCATTCTCCGAACTAGAAAAGTGTTTGGACTGCTGCTCCACAGCGGCAAAATATTCTGCAGCTGTTCACCGACACGACCCGCTTCACCTAACGATTTACGATCGTATCGTTCTCCGAGTTTTTTGGTAGCAGCAGCAAGAATTGCGTCCGCGACGACAGGACGAAAGTCTCTCGCAAACAAAAGTCCTGTTGCCACGAAGACAGAGAAGATTCCGCAAGCCCTTTCTTCTGCTTCCAGTGTTGTAGCTCTCCGGTCCACTGGCAGATCTTTCAATCCCACCGAATAAAAAAGGATCTTCTTCTCTCTCTCTAAAAACAACCAAAATATTACTTTGCGACTGTCCAGGCCGGCCGTGTACATAGTGCATGCGACGCTGCGGACCTTTGCAGAACATAACATACGTTTTTGCACAGCGGCTGGCGCTAGAACGGGCAGCACGCTTCTACTTCGGATTTTGCGATTTTTTCGAGGGCAATGGGTTCCTTTTGCCTTGCTTGGCTACCTACAATGTACAGAAAATACTAAAAATACTTCCTCCGCGTCATCGAAATTGTCGCAGTTTGACTTTTGAAATAAAACGGGGTGTTTACTCACCAGCACTCGTGATACAGGAATCGGACATAGGCGATAGTCATCAGTATAGGGTGACGGCAAAGTTCTTTTTTCTGAAATTGGAAGCTGAAATATTTGAACTAGACGCAATTTCTTCGCTGATGTCGCTGCGATGGTAATTTCGACTCGCTGAGATCAGTCAGGCGTTGCAGCCTGCACATTTCTCGTGCTTATGGCCATCCACTCAAGCCTCATCACTGTTTTACCTTAGCTGGGGTGAGAATGACTTCGTGGAACAAGTGGCAGCGCTTGGAGAAACATCGAGGGGTCAGGCAAACTAAATGCATGCAACAGCGATAAAATTTGTCCCTCTGGCTGAGACACTCAGTACATGATTGTACCTGCAAGAGCCGTGTAGACTCTACACGTAGTGCTAGTGATGCACGCCCAGGTGCCGTACCAGTGATGCTGAAAAAGAGGTCGCGCTGACGTGATAGTACACTTACCTGCACGAGCTGTGACCACACAGTTAAAATATATGGGCATGCCACGGCTAAAAAAAGTTCATTTCAAGATCAAGGTGATTCCGCCGACGGTAATCAACCGACCTCGCAACGATCGTGTATTCATACTTCTTTGGTGGTGAAGTAGAAATCATCCAGAGCTAGTAGACGACAAGCATAGCAGCTCTTGTCCTGTGGAGAAAGTCAAAGCGTTTGAGATGAGGCGCGACCAACTTTCAACCTTCCTTGAAATATTTCGGAACGATGTTTTTGCGTCCATTGACATCAGCGACGACGAGGACTTCATCTCTGCATGAAAACTCTCAGTCCAAATGTCCTGGAACGTTACTCTAGTCTTCAGACTATCATACTGTGTAATAAGTTTTGATTGGCTTAGCTTATGGAGTTGTCAGTAACAAGTGACAAGTCACTAGTCAAACTGCGACAATTTCGATGACGCGGAGGAAGTACATGAGAAGTATGTTTTGGAGTTGCAGTGGGGTTGTCGAATAAGTGTTAGGGGAACCCTCCTTTGCGGCTGTAGAATACTAAAACGTGCCCTGTTAGCCGAAAAATCCTTATTTTTCTCAGGGGATACCCCCAACCCCGTCATACCACTCACAGCCGCCCTGTGACGCCCCAGTTGTTGGTACAGTACGGGACAGGCACGGGATAGCACCAGGTATCTTTTCCGTTTGCCCTTCTAGGCTTCTTCCGCGACAGCTCGATCGCCTTTCATCTCTGGTGCGGGTGTAATCTAGTGACTTCACACATGCGTTATAATAGACGAATCCTTTTTTCTGGGTTCGTGAAAAGGGCCACGCGTGCAAGTCAGCTGGTGTGAAGTGCATGTTTTTGCATTTAGTTGGTATGTGGCAGCGAATGGGACAGAGAGACATTTGCTCCCCGAGCTTGTGTATGTAAATAGTGTTTTACGTCCACCCTGAAGGCTACAATTCCCTACCATACCACGACGAATTGATCGGCTACATCATTGTACTGCAAAACGTTCCATCTGTTCGAATAGCATGCATGATGAGCTAGGCAAAAAGGCATACGGTAGGACCCTGAGCGAAAGAAATAAACTTTCTCTTTGCATTCGAGGGTAATACAACACCGTCTACCACCTTGATGACCTAGGCAAAAAAAGCATAGGGATGTTATTTATTTATTTATTTCACTCAACTCGTGGTTCATGACCAATTGGCACGCAAAGTGCGAGAGAGATGTGATAGCCAACCAAGGCAAGAAAAGAAAAGAAAGGAATATAGAAAAAGAGAAGAAAGAATGATATACAAGAATCCAGCAATGAGATCCTATCGTACCACATTACACACAAGAGAGAGTTTGGAAGCTTTGTCACAACTCCGAGTTTCATGTA